ATATATATATATATATATATATATATATATATATATATATATATATATATATATATATATATNTATATATATATATATATATATATATATATATATATATATATATATATATATATATATATATATATATATATATATATATATATATATATATATATATATATATATATTTTATCAAACAAACGCCACCTTGGCAAGATTAAGAGGCTATTTTCAAAAACATTTTAAAAATCAAAACATTTGTGTAAAGGAAAAAAAAAATAGCAATTAATTTTTACTGGAAAATACATTTGAAATCTATCTGGATGCTGCTAACTTCTTTACTCAGTCTAATGTAATGCTAAAAAATAAATCCATTCCTTAAAAAGTTCACACATTGTGTTATTTGCATATAATGGCCAACAACAATGAGAACTGCGTAATGGAATGATAAGTAATGTCCTGCTGGAAAACTAGGGGGTGGTGGAACCTAAAAAATTAGCCAGCTGATACCATGATGCAAATTCTACCTTATCGAGTAAATGTGTATAACATGCAAAACCACAATCCACGAATGACCCCAGAAGCCACGTCTGCGAAAGTAGAAGTAGAAACGATGACCTTCTGTGTCTTTGTGGAAATATGGACAGTTCACCCAAAAATGATCATTTCATTTAGTAATCCTAACACCCAAAGCGAACCTCTGCCAACTCTGGAATGACATCACATTCGCTGCGCGCACTCCAGCAAACTAGCAAACACAGAGTATAAATCAGCCTTTACTCATCACTAACCAGTTTGAGCTGCTTTCTTCTGTTGAACACAAAAGAAGATATTTTGAAAAATGTCCCAGTGGATACTATTGAGGTCAATGGTTTTAGGTTTCCAAGTCTAAGATTAGCAATTTCCAACATTTTTCAAAATATCTTCTTTTGTGTTCAACAAAAAAACTAAACAGTTTTGAAACGACTTTAGGGTGAGTTATTCCTACACTTTCGTCAATTGGTGAAGTCTGTTTCCCGCCACTGGCTTGCTTGGTTTGGGACTTGTGGAGCTGCGCATCGATGGATTTGCTCTTCAGTGTTTGGACTTTCAGCAGTGAATATTAAACCACACTGAACTGAACTAAACTGAACTCTAAAAACTGGACTGACGCAGTTTCAATGTACTAGAACTTCTATGTGAAGCTGCTTTGACACAATTTACATTGTAAAAGTGCCATAGAAATAAAGATTAATTGAATTGAGTAATTAAATATTCATTTTTTGGGTTAGCTATCTGTTTAAAGGCAAATATAACTAACTAAATAAAGTTTAATGTCTGATCACTAAAAATTTTGTCCTTAACTGAAAAAAGAAACTCATACAGGTTTGGAAGCACTTTATGGTTAATAAACAGTGATTAAATATGAATATTTAGGTGAATTATCTATTTAAAGTAAAAAAAAAAAATATTTTTTAAATAAATCAGATTCAGTGTCTGATCATTGAGCTTTTGTCGTCAACAGAAAAAAGAAACTCATACAAGTTTTGGAAGCACTTTAGGTTGAATAAACAGGGATTAAATATGTATTTTTGGGTGAATTATCCATTTAAAGTAAAAAAATAATAATAAAAATAAATAAATAAATAAATAAATAAATAAATAAATAAATAAAATTCAGTGTCTGATCATTTAGCTTTTGTCCTCAACAGAAAAAAGACACTCATACAAGTTGTGGAAGCACTTTAGGTTGAATAAACAGGGATTAAATATGTATTTTTGGGTGAATTATCCATTTAAAGTAATAAATAAATAAATAAATAAATAAATAAATAAATAAATAAATAAATAAAATTCAGTGTCTGATCATTGAGCTTTTGTCCTCAACAGAAAAAAGAAACTAATTTTTTAAAAAAATGAATTTTTGGGTGAATTATCCTTTTATAGTTAAAAAAATATTAAATAAATCAAATTCAGCTTTTTTCCTCCACAGAAAAAAAAAACACTCATACAAGTGTTGGAAGCACTTTATGGGTGAATAAACAGTGATTAAATATGATTTTTTGGGTGAATTATCCATTTAAAGAAAAAAAATAAAAATAAATAAATAAATAAATAAATAAAATTCAGTGTCTGATCATTGAGCTTTTGTCCTCAACAGAAAAAAGAAACTAATTAAAAAATATATGAATTTTTGGGTGAATTATCCTTTTATAGTAAAAAAAAAATATTAAATAAATCAAATTCAGCTTTTGTCCTCCACAGAAAAAAAAGCACTCATACAAGTGTTGGAAGCACTTTAGGGTGAATAAACAGGGATTAAATATGATTTTTTGGTAAATTATCCATTTATAGTAAAAAAAATTATTAAATAAATCCAGTTCAGTGTCTGATCATTGAGCTTTTGTCCTCAATAGAAAAAAGACACTCGTAATAGTTCTGAAAGCACTTTAGGGTGAATAAATAGTGATTAAATATGAATTTTTGGTTTAACTCGAATTAAAGGAAGTAAATCAAATTCAGTGTCTGAGCGGTGAGGTTTTCTTCCTAATTAGCCAGTTCAGAAAACCTAGAAAAACAAATGCAATACCTGCGCAATACTCTTCCGACACGCATGGGCTTGTTTTATGATGTTACGTAACTGAAATTCATCCAGAGCAAAGCAAAAGCCTGATGGGGATGACACAACCTGAACCCTCCGCTCTGAAGTTTTTTTATTGCTAAGCCTGAAGATTCAGCCTCAAATCACATCAAAACAATTCATCAGCAGGCCAACAATTATCTCTCAGATGCCTGGATGTCCATGTTTGTACCTGCACACATGGATTTGCGTTCAGGCTTGTCTTTTTCCATGAGTGAATCTTTACTGGGTATTACAGCAGAGCCAGGGGAAATTTAGCCCTGTGATGTTGAAAGAGTACTCAGTCATTTCTGCAGAAAAAGAGCTCGAAAATACCACAAAATCTCCTCAAGTGGCGGAGATACACTTACTAAACTTCCTGTATGAGGTCATGTGTTGTGAAGAGGATGGTTTACAAAAAACTGCCACCTTAAAAGGAAGAGGAACTGAGGTGTTTGGAAATCACGAAATGTATATGTCTAGAAGGAGAAAAGCAAACCGTTTACTTTAGAGAGAGAAGAGGGGGAAATGGTGTTGGGAAACTAAATTATGACTAAAAGCACTACAAGAGATTTGTGTTAGGATAATTAAATAAAATACAGCAAAAAAATTAAAATAAATATTAGAACTCAATAAAACCAAATAAAAAAAAGACTATTTTGGAGGCTTAAAAAAGAAATACAAACAAAACTAAATTAAGACTAAAAACACTAAAGTACAACACCGTAGTTAAAATAAATAGTGCAAAAACTAAAAATTAATCGTACAAAAATAAATAAATTAAATGTTATAATTGCAAAATATTATATTTTGTAATTGCAAAATATTAGAAAATTTTATTTTGTAATTGCAAAATATGTTAAAAAAATAAATAAATAAATGTAATAATAAAATAAAAAATTCAAATAAAATAAATTATTATTTAAAAAAAAATTAAATATTATTTTTTTAATCAAAAATGCTAATTAAAATATTTTGTAATCGTAAAAAATGCAAAAATATAAATAAATATTACAACTCAATAAAACCAAATAAAAAAACTACTATTTTGCAGGGTAAAAAAGCTAAATTACAAATAAAAGTAAATTATGACTAAAAACACTAAAGTTAACCACTGTTGAAAAAATAAACAGTGCAAAACTAACGGTATTTGTATAAAGTGTGTGCATATACATGTCAACTATCTTAGGTATTTTCTTTATCTGTAATAGTAATTGTGAATCATGCTCAGTTGCAGAAAATGTAAATAAAGTGGGGGGAAAATAAATAATAAATAAAATCAGATAATAATAAGTAGCAGTTAAAGTCAGAATGCTCCAAAAATAGAGAGAGAGAGAAAAAAAAGAAAAGATGTAAAAGGCTTGAGTGTGTGTAGACAGACAAAGCAGCATGACTGACCAGTATGTCGACGCTGTCTCTGCGGGGCAGGGAACTGTGCTCTGGTTTGTCAGTGGCTGGCGTGAGGATGTAGACGCTGCCCCCTACTGACGGCTTGATGTTGGGCAGGCTGAGCGAGCGCAGATCCTTAACACTCTGTTCCACCTTCAGCTCATCGCCAGGTCGAGCTGTGTACACACACAAACAAAGATTCAACTACAACAGCAAACAATGTTATAAAATGCTTTGCTTACTAAACAGACCGAACAATATTTAATAATGCATAAATGTTATTAAATGTTTAAAATGCAGAAAAAAATACATATCAGAATGCAATACACACTGTTAAAAATATCTGTAAATTAACAGTTTTGTGATTAACAAGTGTTTTATTTACGGTTGTGAATTGCATTATAGGATGTTGAACTCTGCTCTGTCGAATTTTGGTGTTCAAATTCAACTCTACAGTTTAACAAAGTGATTTTATTGACATTTCAGTAGTAGCTTCATCTATTCATGACTATACAACCATGTGCCTGTGATAAACTGGTACCGATGTTGATTAGAACAACAGGATGAGATACGTTTCAAACCATGCCACAATCTGTAATAACATTCTCACCTTTCACTTTGAGATAACGTCCACCGAAACGGAACGCCTCGAAGTCGAGAGACAATGGAGTGTTGGACTGATCCAGGAACAGATCGACTCGGAACAATTCAATGCCCTTCCGCTCAAAAATGGGCCCAAGCACTTCTCTAAACAACAAAATGATCAAATTAATTAACATTTACAAAGCAATCATAGTGTTACTAGTAGGGTTGGGTATCGTTTAGGTTTTTTTCGATACCGGTGCTAAATCGATACTTTTAAAACGGTACCAGTGCCTGAACCGATACTTTTTAGCCACAAAATTAATTGACAAAAAAATATATACATATATATACATTATAATAATGATATGCATGTTGGTGTGTCAGAATCCTTGCATGTAAAATATAGCTATACTGTAAAATGTTTAGTTTAAGCAAATTAGATGAAATCGATCTTGCGTGTTGATGAAGTGAGTCGCTCGCCGCATGCGCCGTACTGCGGCTTTGCCTTCTATAAGCTACAATAACAAACACCTGACAGGGCTGACATCCGTATCCCTCAAAGCTGTTTAGAATTAAACATTTAGAGATGGTTTGACAACGCCTACTTATGTGGCCCCTTAACGCACACCTTTATGCTTCTTAAGGGCGTCACACAGTGGAAGCGCCGCGGCACGGCGCGCACATGACAGTTGATAACATCATACACCAGACGTGCACATTCGCGTGTTATTTAAAATGAAACATTTGGCGCTTGGATGGTTCTCTGTGGCCTGAGGCGCTTCTGGTGTGCGACCTTTACATTCTTGTTGCAGCATCGAAATTAGGCACTGAAATTCATATGCTGATTTGATCCAGTGCATATTGGTTCCAAAGGTACAGGTGCCATTATGGCACCGGGTTTCGGTACCCAACCCTAGTTACTAGCATTGTAAAGTCTAATAAACACCCTTTCACACCTTTAAAAAGACAAAGTACATACATCTGGGAGGTTGGCAAAAAAATGTTCTGCAACTTTTTGCATAATTTCTGATGACATATTCTGAGAATATATTGCATATATAGTTGAAACCAGGAGTTTACATACATTCTAAAAAAAGGAACATAACCATTAAAAAAAAAAAGTCTGATGGTAAATCATACTAAATGTTTACTATTTTAAATTCGTTAGGATTACCTAAATTATTTAAATTTGTTAATGCCAGAATAATGAGATTTTATTTTTATTTTTTGAGAATTTTTTATTAATTTCTACACAGTCAAAATTTTGCACACATTTTCTTGTTATTTTTTTAGCTTTGCTTTTTAAAATGTATAACTTCAAATGTCAATGTTTTAGGCATCCTTCTACAAGCTTCTCACAATAGTTTGAAGGAATTTTGGCCCATTCCTCCTGACAGAAAAATATTTGACTAGATATTTTCCAAGACACTTCTATACAGTTTGAACTGACATTTAAAGGCTTAACTAGGCAAGTTATTGTATATCGATGGTTTGTTCTGTAGACTATCAGAACAAATATATAGCTTAAAGGGGCTAATAATTTTGACCTTAACCTGTTAGCCAATTTTGGGGATTTACACCTACCTAACTTTTTAAATAGTAACAGTTCCTGACTCCAGTAAGCTACAACCACAAATGTATCATTGGAAAGAGGACACTTTGAGCTTTACTGTGGTAAAAGGAGGCGTTACATGTTAAAAAATATAAAAAGTTATTTATTATGAAGTCATGAAAAAAAATTGTATTGTGTTTAATATTTGTTTTCCATATAGAAACACAGGAAAACATTTATGAAATGTCCTAGAACAAACTATGACTTGAAAGCTAAGTATTTCATGGCGTTAATATATTAAATTTGATGAAGACAGCATGCAAAATTAGATTTCTGTAAAAAGTTTTCCGAGGCTATGCTGATATCCTTTTCTTCCTCACCATCGGAAATGATCAAAAATGATCTTCCCAGACTAAAATGGTTTTTAAAAAATTAAAACTGCTTTTATTCTGGCTGAAATTAGACTTTCTCCAGAAGAAAAAATATCATCAGAAATTCTGTGAAAATTTCCTTGCTCTGTTAAACATCATTTGGGAAATATTAAAAAAACAAAAGAGTGAAAAAAAAAATTAAAGGGGTCTAATAATTCTGACTTCAATTGCCAACTAAAAAGTTACTTATTTATATAATGCCTAAGCTGAATGTTTAGGCCCTTCAGAAATTCTAATAATATGCTGATTTAATGCTTAAGAGACATTTACAAACACTCAGAATATGTTTGCTGTTTGTTCAAACTACCTAAAATAAGCTGAAACAACACAATTCTTGAGTTTTTTGGGGGAAACAACTTCAATGTTTTACATTCAATCCACTTAAATTTGTAAAAACTAATAATTTAACTTAATTCCCTTATGTTGTCACAACACAAATCGATTGTGAGGAAGCCAGCATTTATTTCTTACAGTGAATGTTGAAACACATATATATTTTTTAAAATTTGTGTGGAAAACTTGATTCGTTTCAGTTTTCCAGTCTATAAAAAGTTTAACATAACAGCAGGTTTTTTGAAGTATGAGATTTTTTGAGATGAGAGTATTAAAAGTCACCACAAATCGATGTAATGATGTACAGTTGAAGTCAGAATTATTCACCCTCCTGTGGTAAGTGTTGCTTACCTGAGCAAGGAAATTTTCACAGTATTTCTAATAATATTTTTTCTTCTAGAGAAAGTCTTATTTGTTTTATTTTGGCTAGAAAAAAAGTTTAAAATAAAAAAAAATGTTTAACCAAATCATTGAACTTAAGTGTCTTCAATTTAAAAAATAAAGGATTTATTTTATAACTTTTTTCTGCATTGTACAAAAGGATTGTAAATTAGATTTATACATATTCCCCCAAATTTCAGCACAATAACTCATGTATGACAACATAAGTGTGTTATATAATAAACACATTGATTTATGGTCCAGGATAAATCTTGCTTTATTGCTACAGTTTTTACTAATTTTGATCTCACATTATTTATTTGCGATTTCCAACTAATTTATGATCCAATACAACACCAAGAAACTTAAGTGCATATACTCTTTCTATAACTTCATTATCAATTTGTAAATCTATATTATGACTACTTTTTAATTTCCCAAATAACATAACCTTTGTTTTACTTATATTTAAGGACAATTTGTTTAGGTCAAAACACAATTTCAATTTATTAATTTCTGTTTTAATCAACTCCGTAAGTTTTGGTAAATAGGGTATAAGCCGAGCTAGTGTTGTTCCCAAACTGATAAACTTCCGGTGACCTGTTATTCTGAGTTTTTTTCCATTTTATATGGTTCCTTTTGCAGCATTGATGTTGTAATGCAATTAAAATACAATCGGTTAAACAGACTTTGGCATTAATTTAGCTGCTCAAACGTAAAACAAGACAAAAAGCCGTTTACTCGAACGCGCCTGTCAGAATCGGCAGGTTAGCGCAGAAGCTCAATTGAATATACTAGGGTAAAATAAATGCTCATATTATAAAGACATGGTGGAGAAAATGTAATTTAATGCAGTGCTTCTTGTACAATCAGAGACCCACTTTATATTGGATATCAATCAGCCAGTGGAGATTGCAGATTTTTAAAGAAAACAGACCAATTTTGCAATGGCATTCAGTTTACCGGAAGCTGTTAACCCAGATTAATGGCAAATTAAAAGTCCTACTAGCATACATACCCTATCATTTCCAGAACAAAAATTACTTGTATCATCTGCAAATAAAATAAACTTAACTCTGATATCTTACATATATCCTTAATGTAAATTATAAGCAATATTGGACCTAAAACTGATCCTTGTGGTATGCCACAATTTACATTTGGAAATAAAGATTTATGATTGCCAATTTCCATGAACTGTTGCCTATTTTTTAATAACTAAATTTAATTAATTTACTCAATTTATTATTATCCTGAAGCACTAAGGTTGTGTGTTCGAATCCTAGACTACTACCTAGATTAATTCACAAACTGACCGTAACGTCTTCTTCTTGACTGCGGGGACAATCTCTGTGTCAATGTCAATGTTGAGGTCAAACTTGAGACTGAAGCACTCCCTCCTCGGGTTCTACAGGGGGCGATAAAACAACACTGGTCAAAGGTGAACATCAAACAGACCATCATGCATTCATTTACGCTGAACTTAAAATGTGATAATCTTAAGAAATCTGTTTAATGGACCGCATCCTGGAGCTGGTGACTCAAAGATGTGTCATTTCCTGTTCACCGTTGCACAGGGAAGACCACATTCAAGTTTCTACTTGCACAGTCAAACTGCTGGTGAGGAATATGAATGTGCATTAGGTTTGGGACCAGAGTTTTTGTATTGTTTTTAAAAGAAGTCTATTATGCAAGGCTGCATTTATTTTATTGTATTTTTAAAATGTATTTTGTATTACGTAGTTATGCATTTAGTATTCTGAAAAGAAAGTAAAAAATAAATAAATTATTTATTTATTTTAAATATTTATTTATTTATTTTTAATATTTTTTATTTATTTAATGTATTTTTATTTATTTGTTAGTTATTTAATAAAATTTTATTTTTTAACTTAAAATTTTATTAAGAAATGTTTTATTTATTTAGTTAATTTTATTTTTATTAATTAATTTTTTTATTTAAGATGTATTTATTTATTTATTATTTATTAACTTTATTTTATTTATATATTCATAAAATTTTATTTATTTATTTAATGAAAATGTATTTAATTCAAATTTATTAATTTTTAATTGTTATTTATTTAAATGTTATTTATTTTATTTATTTATTAAATATTTTTTATTTATTTAATTTTATATATATTATGTTTATTTATTTAAAATTTATTTATTAATTTTTATTATTTTATTTATTCATTTATTTATTTATTTGTTTATTTATTTGTCTATTTATTTATTAAAAATGTTAATTAAATAAAAAAGAAATGAAAAAGAAAATAAACATACCTTTACATTAATACTTCATTTATTTATTTATTAATAATCTTAATTATTTCATTTTTATTTATTTAGTTAATTTTTTTTATTACATTTTTAATTTTATTTATATATTTATTACATTTTTAACTACTTATTTAATTTTAATTTTAATTTTAATTGTGATTTAATTTTATTTATTTATTTTTATTTTATTCATTTAACTTATTTATTTAATAAATTTTAATTAATTTAATTATTTTTTTAATGAAATTTTTACATATTTTATATTTATTTATTTTTGATTTATTTAGTTTTAATTATTTTATTTTATAAATTTATTTATTAGTTTATTTATAACAAACAACAACAAAAAAAAATAATCCTTTAGGAGCAGCAGTTGATATAATGATTTCAGAATGATCATGTGATACTGAAGTAACAATGCTGAAAACTAAGCTATGAATCACATCAAAGGGCGGCATGGTGGCTCAATGGTTAGCACTGTCGTCTAACAGCAAGAAGGTTGCTGGTTTGATTCCCAGGTGATTCAGTTGGCATTTCTGTGTGGAGTTTGCATGTTCTCCCCGTGTTGGCTTGGGTTTCCTCCAGGTGCTTCGGTTTCCCCCACAAGTCCAAAGACATGCGGTATAGGTCAATTGAATAAACTAGATTGTCCGTAGTGTATGTGTGTGAATGAGAGTGCATAGATGTTTCCCATACTGGGTTGCAGCTGGAAGGGCATTCGTTGTGTAAAACATAAACATTCCGCTGTGGCGACCCCTCATTAATAAAGGGACTAAGCTATAGGAAAATGAATGAATGAATGAATGAATTGCATTAAAGAAAATTCCATACATTCCATACATAAGAAAACATATTCAAAATTATAATAATACATAACAAATTTATTTTACGTTCGATCAAAAAGGGCAGCCTTGGTGAGCAGAGGCTTCTGTTAAATCATTTAAAACATTGTACAGATCCCAAACTTGCGTAGAATGCCTGTTTTCTTTGAGACCATCCTTTAGAGTATAGTCAGCCAGGAACAGACATTTCCCATGAGTCTTTGCTAATGCACTTACATCAGTGTGGTGACGTCGGGGCTTGTTTCCTTCTCTCGCTTTCAGCTTTAAGCCTCCTGCCTTACGCTCTCTGTTTGAGCACAGAAAAAAAACTTGAACAATTAACTCTCACACACAACTTAAGAAGGTACTATTAATAGAGGAAAAACAAAAATGCATTAACTAATACATGCACTCTTATATTTACTACATATGGTATTTTACAGGACTGAACCATCTGCTTGTTTGCTGGGCTGTACAATTTAGACAAGAATACTGTGATATCAGTGTGAAAATCCAATGAAAGCAAATAAAATGTTTTGTTTTTTAGTTGTTATGTAAAAAATATATGCCCCTCATTTTAAAAATCTAGGGACATCGTAATTCATTATGCAGGACTACTGATTTATTTTCATTGCTCCATATCAGATTTGCTAAAAACACTTTAACTAATAAATGTATTATTATTTGTACCACATAGGGTTTTTTAAAGGACTGAACCAGCTGCTTGTTTGGTGGGCTGTACAATTTAGACAAGAATACTGTGATATCAGTGTGAAAATAAAATAAAATAAAAAGTGTTGTTTTTTCAGGTGTTATTGCAAAAAGAAACTAAAGTACCATGGAGAAAAAAAAGCTCATCATTTAAAAAATTTAGTAATAGGGTTGTAGGTTATCCCTTTATAAGTGATCTATACTCACAACATATGCAGAGAGATGTCAGTGTGGAGCAGCATTTACTGCATTTTAATCCAAAATGTGCATTACGTTTTACTGAACTAAATTGCAGCCTTTATGATTTGATAATCACACTATAATAACGAAATTCATTTTGCAGCTGTTTTTTTTCCATTGCTTCATATTAGATTGGCTAAAAACACAAACACTTTAAACAAACTACACTTTTTTTCTTATTTTTACCACATAGGGTATTTTACAGGACAAAACAAAAACTAAACAAAACAAAAAAGAAGTGAAAACGAAAACAAAACAAAAACAAAGCAAAATGGAAAAAACTAAACAAAAACAATTATTAAAAATTTATAAAAAATTATAAAAAAAAACAAAGACAAAACAAAAAAGGAAATCAAAACAAAAAAAGGGAATTGAAACAAAAAGCAAAACAAAACAAAAATAATCTGGAGTCTGGATAAAAAAATACAAAGACAAAACAAAACAAAACAAAAACTAACTTAAAACAAAACAAAAATGAAACAAAAACAATTTTTTTAAATAAACAAAACAAACCAAAAAAATTTATGAAAACAAAATAAAATGAAAAAAAAAAAATTAAGATGAAAAAAAAGTGAAAAAGAAAACAAAACGAAAACAAAGCAAAATGGAAAAAAACTAAACAAAAACAATTATTAAAAATTTATAAAAAAAACAAACCAATGATAAAACGAAAAAGGAAATCGAAACAAAAAAGGGAATTGAAACAAAAATCAAAACACACAAAAAAGAAATGAAAATGAAAACTAAATGAAAACAAAACAAAAAGGCAAAAACAAAAAAAAAATCTGGATAAAAAAACAATACGAAGACAAAACAAAACAAAAAACCTAAAACAAAACAAAAATTAAACAAACAGTGGTTGTAAAATCATCAATCTAAATAAATTCCATGAAAAAAAATCGGGTATGCAAACTTTGTTCAGGTACGCAAGTATTCAGCTTCAGTTTGAATTGTATGCTTCTCGTGCAAAAACAAAAAACATAACAAAAAACACACATTTTGGATTTTTGCATCTCTATGTTGTGCCACTCATGGTGCATATGGACGTCAAACTTTCATACGTTATCTGAAATTGCACAAGGATTGAGTTTCAAAGACTGACCCTCGTTCAGTGCTCGCTTCTTCGTCCTCCTCCAGGTCTGAAGGAGGGCTCGTTCGAGGAGGACAGGAACGTGTCGACACATTTCGTGCCAGGATAGAACCTAAAAAGATTACGTCAAACATGGAATAAAAATTAATATTTCAAAGCACTTCACAGGACCTTTAAACTACAAAGAATTTAATTTATTTAAGATAAATACTTAAAAGTATTTTATTTACAATTAATATGCTGTCAAGTGAATAAATGGCTGAATGTTGATAATGATGACAATTAACTGTACAAATACTAACATCCGTCTCAGTTGTTTTCGAGTGAAACTGATTTGTATAAAAGCAATAAACCTGTTTGTCAGAGTGTAACGCAAGTGCTTTTGTGCCTGCAGGTTAGCTACCTTGTGGCTGTACGTCGAAGCGGGGATGTCTGTCAAAGTGCATGCTGTCAGACTCATCCAGGTGACAGCGAGAATCACATGACTCGCACAGGTGCAGAGGGCTTTTACCGTTCAGCTCCTGACAGTCGGGGTGATGACAAACCTGCAGGAGCACAGAAAAAGATAATTTAGGCCAAGCTCCTTTCATTTCATCAGGCTGAAGAATTTGGTCTCGTTTTGAAATTCCTTGTTTTCACGTCAGCATAACGTCACTATAAACATACAGGCATGCATATGACACAAAGAGCAGCGTTTAGACCCCTAAGCAATTCAAAAACAGTGTGGAAAATGGCTTCTTTACGGTAAAAGTGCTTCTCCAGTGCCCCAAAACCCCCTCAGAACACAAAAGTGTGTCACATACTTACTAAAAACAAACAGGGAGTACTGCAAGGTTCAGTAGTCAGACCATTAATTATTTTTTTTTTAACAAGTTTCTTGAAGAAATCATTAAAAATATTGAGTTAGTTTTCCCTGTTATAATGATTCCCCTCTATATTTATTTAAGTCCAGATTTACATTTATATTTAATCATTTAGCAAACGTTTTTGTCTAAAGTGACTTACAGAGACAAATCTGAAGCAGAAAGAGTAACTCAGATCAGATTACTTTCTCTTTGTTAGGCTAAAAAATTTGGTCTTGTTTTGAAATTCCTTGTTTTCACGTCAGCATAACGTCACTATAACCATACAGGCCTGCATATGACAAAAGAGCAGTGTTTAGACCCCTAAGCAATTCAAAAACAGTGTGGAAAATGGCCTCGTTACGGTAAAAGTGCTTCTCCAGTGCCCCAAAACCCTCTCAGAACACAAAAGTGTCACATACTTACTAAAAACAAACAGGGAGTACTGCAAGGTTCGGTAGTCAGACCATTATTTTTTTTCTTTTTTTAACAAGCTTCTTGGAGAAATCATTAAAAATATTGAGTTAGTTTTCCCTGTTATAATGATGATTCCCCTCTATATTTATTTAAGTCCAGATTTACATTTAATCATTAAGCAAACGTTTTTGTCCAAAGTGACTTACAAAGACAAATCTGAAGCAGAAAGAGTAACTCAGATCAGATTACTTTCTCTTTGTTAGGCTAAAAAAATTGGTCTTGTTTTGAAATTCCTTGTTTTCACGTCAGCATAACGTCACTATAACCATACAGGCATGCATATGACAAAAGAGCAGCGTTTAGACCCCTAAGCAATTCAAAAACAGTGTGGAAAATGGCCTCTTAACGGTAAAAGTGCTTCTCCAGTGCCCCAAAATCCAGATTTACATTTATATGTAATCATTTAGCAAACGTTTTTGTCCAAATTGACTTACAAAGACAAATCTGAAGCAGAAAGAGTAATTCAGATCAGATTACTTTCTCTTTGTTAGGCAAAAGAATGTGGTCTTGTTTTGAAATTTCTAATTTTTACGTCAGTATAATGTCGTTATAACCGTACAGACATGCACATGACAAAAAGGCAGTGTTTAGAGCCCTGGGCAATTCAAAAACGGTGTGGAAAAGGGCTTTTTAAGGTAAAAGTACTTCTGAGGGGGTTTGGGGGCACTGGAGAACCAATAAATGTGTCAAATATTAACTAAAAACAAACATAAGTCACAAATTCAGTATGGAGTACTGCAAGGCTCAGTACTCAGACCATTACTTTTTGGTATGACTGTACAGACATGCACATGACTAAAGGCTAGTATTTAGAGCCCTAAGCAATCCAAAAACAGTGTGGTAAATGGCTTCTTATTGTAAAAGTACTTCTCAAGTGCCCCAAACCCCCCTCTGAACCCACGAGTGTGTCATATACTAACTAAAAACAAACATAAGTCACAAATTCAGTATGGAGTACTGCAAGGCTCAGTACTCAGACCATTGCTTTTTGTTTTTTTTGTTTTTTTAAACAAACTTCTTCTAAAAAAAAAAATCATTAAAAATATTGTGCTAGTTTTGACAGCTATAATGACGATACCCTCTCTATATATTTAAGGCTAGATTTGCATTTATATTTAATCATTTAGCAGATGTTTTAGTCCAAAGTGACTTACAAAGACCGAAGACAAACCTGAAGATGCACAGAAAGAGTCACTCAGATCAGATTACTTTCACTTCATCAGGCTAAAGAATTAAGTCTCGTTTTGAAATTTCTCATTTTCACATCATTATAACCTCACTATTACCGTACAGACATGCACATGACAATCCAAAAACAGTGTGAAAAATGGCCCTTTACAGTAAAACCCCCTCAGAACATATGCGTCACATACTTTGCAATAAAACAAACATTGGTAACAAGTTCAATAGGGAGTACAGTAAGGCTCTGTACCTAGACAATTTTTTTTAACAAGTTTCTTCTAGGATAAATTTTTAAAAATCTTGTTGAGTTGTTGCTGTATGATTATTTTTATAATGATATATTTAATTTCACTCACATCAGATTACTTCATCAGACTAAAGAATTCTGTCTTGTTTTGGCCACAGTAAAAATCTGTAACATGGTTAACATTATCTGTAATATGGATAACATTTTATAAAGTTTCCTTAATATAAATTTAATTTCCCTGAATTCTATGAAAGACACTTAAATTTTTTAGTTTAGTTTTTTTTTCTCTCTTTTTTTTTTTTTTTTTTACATTTTCTCATTGGTTATGCATATTACAGTTTTATGTTACATCTAATTTTAATGAACAATGTTCATTGCACTACTTTAGTTTCATGTCTGTTACCATGATGGTATAAAGTATTTGTGTGAATGACACTGAGCACCCTCTATTATCATTCATTCATTCATTTTCTTGTCGGCTTACATTCTTTATTAATCCGGGGTCGCCACAGTGGTATGCACCGCCAACTTATACAGCATGATTTTATGCAGCGGATGCCTTTCCAGCCACAACCCATATCTGGGAAACATCCACACACACACACACACACATACATACATACATACACTACGAACAATTTAGCCTACCCAATTCACCTGTACCACGTCTTTGGACTGTGGGGGAAACAGGAGCACCCTCTATTAGTATGTGTTTATCTTTGTGGAAAAGTTCTTATGAGCATGAGCATGATGAACATTAGTTCAAAAAGTAGGCCTTCTCATCCCATTTAAGTGTAACAAAGGTACAAAGTCTAGATGGTAATATTGAAAAAATATTAGTGTACTAATGCTACAAATTAATGAAAAATGGTAGTTTACAGTTAACTTAGAATTTCTTTTATGTTTGTACCATTTTTAACAGTTAAATTCTAGCTCATATTTTGGCAAGTTAATCATACATTTGGTATTTTTTACAGTGCATAAACAGATAACTGTAATATATGGCTATCAATAGATTGATAAGCAGACAGACATATAGAACGTGCACTCAAATAATTTTTGCTGCTTGTTCAAACTAATTATTTCAAAAGAGCAGAATCAACACAATTCTTAAGTTCTTTTGGAGGACAACTTCATTGTTTTATGTTCAATCCACTTGAATTTGTAAAAACAATTAAGTTAACAATTGATTTGTGTTGGGACAAGGATTGTGTTGATTTTTTAAAGTGTAGAAGAACAGAAAAAGAATGACAGAACCAGAACTACATTATACTGTAGACAAATAGACAGACGGACGGACAGAGAGACTAGACAGAGCAGCTACAGAACGATAGACAGACATGTCCAACAAATACAGTTAACTAAAGGATTGAAGATAAAGCCAGCAGTGGTCTACGTTTTACAAATCCAGAGCAGAAACAAGCATCCACAGAAAGTAACATGAACCAACTAATTTGAGCAAAAGTTGCACATGCGGCTCTCTTAAGAGTTTAAGTCCATGAGAAATCTCTATTTCAAAAGCCCATTCAACTAAAAACCACAACTTTGAGCTTCACATCCACCCTCATTTAATATAAAAGCCGTGAACGCCACACCTACTGCAGCTTAATCCAAATCTCCCTCGATGACTCACGCAGACAAATATCAGTGTTGCCTCTTATTACCTTCCACATCATAGGATGCATCCCATCCTTAGGCTTCCGTCGGTGCATGACAGTAAAGAACCACACTTCATCATACACCCCTAACTTGCAGGGAAGGATCCCAAATCATCCCCTTCCCCCATCTACCAAAGAAGCTCAATTAATCCACCCCTTGCTGTCTAGTCAGGTTAAGCACTAATGGGGGCAGGGCACTTTTAGGGTAGTCCCGGTCTTCCCCAACAAGCAGATCAGTCTTCAGATGTCCAAAGCCCCTCTAATCTGAGGGGCTAATCATTAGTGCGAACCCGTCTGACGGGGCGGTGGAGATTAAATTTGGGCTCATCTCATCCTCAAGACTCGACTCCACCTAAAAAAAATTAGGAAAGACAGCATTGCAGCAAAAGGGCAGCATTTAGAACTCTAAACGATGCAAAAAGAGTACAGTAAATAGACTTTTTAAAAAAAAAAGTACTTCTTTAGTGCCCCAAAATCCCATAAGAGTGGCACATACTTGGCAAAAAAACAAACATAAGTCACAAGTTCAATATGGGGTACTGCAAGGCTATTTCTTTTTTTTCCATTACAAATGTTGAGTATATTTATTTAAGGCCATATTTACATTTATATTTAATAGTTTAGATGCATTCATATTTAATAATTTGATATATTTCTAATCTGAGGAGAACACATCTGATGGGGTGGTGGAGATTATATTTTTGCCTCATTTCATCCTCACCCTTGGCTCCAAGCCTCCACCTAAAAAAAGGGTTCTTCCCCAAGGAAGAAAGGGCAGCCTCGGCAGCAAAGGGCAGCATTTAGAGCTCTAAGCAATCCAAATGTGTGTGTTAACTGGCCTTTTACAGTACTTTAGGTAAAAGTACTTCTCCAGTGCCCCAAAATCCCATAAGAGTGTCACATACTTGGCAAAAATCAAACATAAGCCACAATTTCAATATGGAGTACTGCAAGGCTCAGTACTCAGACCATTGCTTTTTTTATTACAAATGTTGAGTATATTTATTTAAAGGTCATATTTATGTTTATATTTAATAGTTTAGCAGCATTTTTATTTAATAATTTGACATTTTTCTAATCAGAGAAACTAATCATTACCGTACGTTCACACCGAAAGCGGCGAGAGCGTCCAAGGTCGC